AAACTTTCTTAGCAGCACAAACACTTAACAGAAACACTGCTTTATAATCAGAGCTGGTTTATGAGGAGGCTGGCCTCTTCCTATTTCCCCCGTTATATCAAAAACAGGACTGCTAAACAGCAGAGGGCGCCCACGAGGGAGTCCTAAATGAATGGGAGTGAATGAAGCTCAATGGCTAAAAACAAAACGTTTAAATAGTTTCTGATCACTGAACCAGAACTTTCCTTTAATTTTAGAAAGTAGAAGAATGAATTTCACTAAAAAAGCAAAGAAATCTCATCTGTATTTTTCCTTTTTCTACAGCAAACAGGGTTTGGGCAGCAGAAGGCGGGCATTACTGATACTGAGTGCTGATTGGTTGGCGAGCGGAGCAGCTCATTGGCTGTTCGCACTCACTGACGTCATGAACGTACATGAGGCGCTGTTTTAAACTCCTATAACTCGAGTTTAAAAGCTCTTAAAAATATAACAGCAGTGTTAAAATGTTTTATGCTGCTCTGTGTTCAGGAAATGAATGAATTCTTTTACATTAAAAATGTTTCAGCATTTATAAACTATGATTTTGCTCAAATGCTCCACATCAACCCATTCATTTTGGACTCACTCGGGAGCGCCCTCTAGAGATTGAGAAACCCAGAAGACATTGCAGAGCGGTCAGTCTCCTCTCTACAAGTTTTCTGTTTATAATGTCCTGAGCTAACACGCTAAGCTAGTAGCATTAGCTGAGATAACAGAGTGTTAGCATCATAGATACACTTACCTGGATGCTGCGTTGGGTCCGTCAGACACGTCAACAGCGCCACCATCGCTGCTGGACTGCATTCAGTACCATTACAGAGCGGCAGTTTAATAAAGATACTGTCCGAAATTACAGTATTTCAGGAATATCACACTCAGAAAGTGGGACAGGATTATATAACGGAGGGAACGCAGTGATCCACACTCATGTCTGTGTGATGCGTATTGTCTGTGTGATGTTTGTGTAGATATGGCTGTGTGGTTAATGAGGCACAGAGAACGGTGCAGCTTCAGGCACCAGAGTGTAACTGCTGCACCATTTAAGGTGGAACTATTAAGCTGGCGAATAGGAAACCAACTTCAGCTTCGTCCTTCTTACTGTGTTTTGGGGGTTTATTTTATTTGTATGTGTATTAATATCAGAAGAGATTCACTCATTGATGGATTTGCTGATGTGTCTGATTGTGTTTTGCACTAAACTCGGTTTTTAACGTCAGGTGCAGATTGAACACTTTTCCGCTGGTCCAGACAGCTAATTATCATGATCAGTGATTAAAGTAATAAAAGCTACCGAGAGCAGATCCGTGCAGACTAGATTAATCTGTGTCTGAGGATTATAATAAATCAGATTTGGTGAAAATCGGTTGAGTAATAAGGAAGTTGTGGCCGATTTAATCCTGAGACTTTTCGTCTCTCAATACAAGTGAATCTGTTCACAAGCGGATCTTGACCTCTCCAACATGGCGGACGCTCAGACGTACCGCCTCAGATAGAGAACAGCAGACAACACGGCATCTAGATATGCATATCTTTGGTTAGCATACCTGACATTTTTGTCCAAATTGAGTTATTCACATGTTCTTCTTAACATTGTGTGAGGTGTTTCTTTTAAGTTTTGCATTTTTGGACTTTTTATCTAGAAAACAAAAGGGTTCTATCGCCAAACTCTTACTTAGTTCTACAAGGTTCTATCTGTGAGCCAATCAGCACTTCAAATACACACAAGAGGACCAATCAGATTCCGCCTCTTTGTCATGTCTCCGCTCTACTCGACACAGTGACACTGACGTGGTGGTGGTGTGTTAGTGTGTGTGGTGCTGGTACGAGTGGATCAGACACAGCAGTGCTGCACAGTGTCCACTCACTGTCCACTCTATTAGATACTCTTACCTTGTCAGTCCACCTTGTAGATGTAAAGTCAGAGACGATAGCTCATCTGCTGCTGCACAGTTTGTGTTGGTCATCCTCTAGTCCTTCATCAGTGGTCACAGGACGCTGCCCACAGGACGCTGTTGGCTGGATATTTTTGGTTGGTGGACTATTCTCAGTCCAGCAGTGACACTGAGGTGTTTAAAAACTCCAGCAGCACTGCTGTGTCTGATCCACTCAAACCAGTGCAACACACACTAACACGTCAGTGTTACTGCAGCACTGAGAATGATCCACCACCCAAATAGTACCTGCTCTGTGAGGGTCCATGGGGGTCCTGACCACTGAAGAACAGGGTAAAAGGGGGCTAACAAAGTATCAGAGAAACAGATGGACTACAGTCTGTAACTGTAGAACTACAGAGTGGAACTATCTGGTCAGTGGAGCTGATTTCCATGGTGAAATGGTTCTCAGGATTGATGGAGAACGAGTTGTAGATGGTTCTATATAGCACCAAAAAGGGTTCTTTTATGGTTACAAGCTTGACATTGTAACAATAGCAGAACCCTTTTTGGTGCTATATAGAACCATCTACAACTCGTTCTCCATCAATCCTGAGAACCACTTTCTGAGCTGCAGCTGCTCGGTCTGAAGAGCTGGGAGGAAAACAAAAACAGAAATGGATGGATTGGCGACCCGTCCAGGGTGTTTCCCGCCTTCCACCCAGTGAGTGCTGGGATAGGCTCCAGCTCCCCCTGCGACTCAGGAAGATAAGCAGTTTACACTGCGTCTTGTCGAGTGAAATGATCGTAATTCTTCCCAATGTATGTAATATTTCTTATTGTGAGATGACTGTGCACTTATTATAAGATTATTTATCATTTTTCTAGACATTTTTTTACTTGTTTTAGGTCTTTGTATTTAGTAAAATTATCTCACTATACTGGCAGATAATTCAGCTGGTTTCAAGCTAATTTCTTAAAACACGCGAAACTATCTAACAATATAATGAGATAATTTTACTTAATAAAATCACTTAAAACAAGTAAAAAATGCTCGAAAATAAGTTAAATAATTTTAAAATTACAACAGTCCAACAAGAGAAATATTGGATAAATTGATTATAATTAAGATAAATTTGCTTGACGAGATACTATTTTTTGTAGTGTAGATAATGTGTGTGTGTGTGTGTGTTTAATGTGCTCTATAGTTTAAACTTGCTGTCATTCATTTGCTCATATACTCGTCTGAACAGCTCATTATTGCGAGCTTTATGTCCGTCCATCCTGCTGACTATTTTCAGGTCTTTTAAAGTTCGAAGCGTAAACAAAACTGAATGTGGTCAACAAGAATATAATTAAGCCAATTTCAATTTTGGACTGATTTCCACGACCAAGTAAGCATCCTTTCACTCACACTGCCACCTTTCAGCTGTTCCTGTGGCCCACTATGTTGCACCTTCTCTCCCTTTAACTCTGTCCTGTCTTACAATTATTTACCCTTCGCCAACCAGCTGCAGTGGTGCACCACTATAAACACCAGGAGGCAGAGAATTCACAATGTGTCATGATCTACGCGGGCCTTTCGCTCCACGCTGATTAAGGCCACTTACACTGGGCCTGCCAATTAAAGGTGCAATTTGTAAGATTTTTTTTTATTTAAAATGAACCTAAATTAACTAAAATAATCAACATAATGTGAAAAAAATCTCATTTCCTCGATGTTATGTCAATTTTGACCATGACAACTGCTGTGCTGTAATAAACTAAAGTGAAGGCCAACTGATAAAAACCGTGTCAGAGAATTATACAGTCGCTACCATGGACAGAGAAGCTTATAAACTATGGAACACTCAGTAAAGAAAATGGACATCATGCATGAGAATAAATTACAGTGGTCCTACAAAAGATTTATATTTCTTGCTGTCCCCCTTGTGAGATTCGTCACTCATCGCTTTTTAGAAATAAGGTCGCTCAGTAAAAAAGGCCTCAAAAGTCAGTAAGTCTAGCGGCTCAGGCAGGAGTGACCACAATAGACTCAGGGGTTGTATAAGCACATAATTCATATTCATAATAAATGTTTTGGGAGTCCAGAGGCTACAGACAAACGCTCATAGCTGTAGTCCAATATCCAGACCCTAAACTCAACCCTGGGCAGCTCCAAACTTCTAGACTTACCAGTCTAGAAAAAACATTGCAAGTCCCTGTTTTTGTTTTTTTCTGTCCTCTGAAAACTCGCAACATTTCTTCTATACTGGTAAGTAAACACCTGTTAATATTCACATTGGCTGTTTAGAGATAGCGATTTAGCGAGGAGTGAAGAGAGATTGTGCATTTCCTTATTTCTTGTGATAGGGTTGGACGCCACAACTTTCTTTTGATATGTTGTATTTGTTTGGTGTGTGTAGTAAGAATTCGACCGGTTGTGTCATTTTACATGTTGCTCTTTAAGGCAAACCAAAACACCAACTTGCCCCTCCCCTGTTGACCTCCCAGTGCCAGCTCACTTCATTCCATTCCTGCAGATGACACCAGCGTACTTTATGTAGATGGTCAGTTGGTCTTGGAAACTATAGGGATTTAGTTTTATTTCCTTTATTTGTTTTATTTTTCTCTTTGTTATGTTTCTACGGTAAGTGTTACTCCTTTTTCTTAAGATCAGCTGACCAGCATTAGTTTATGACAGTCCAAATTGCATTTTACGACCCCATCCAAGAACGGGATTTAGGCCTTCCTGGGACAGAACACAATGTGTACAACACAAAAGTATTAACAACAGGATCCAGGACAGGATGAAAACACTGTCTTTGGCCATTTACAACTGAAACTAGGGCCTCGGGGGTGGACTGGCCACAGTATAAGAATCTGCTTTCAAGCTGCTGTGTTCAGACAGGTTTTAGTAGATGTTCAGTGCACGTCGACAATAAATTCCCATTTTCTGCAAACCTGTTCTCCGGCTCTCTTTCTTAGCAAAAAAAAAGATTACCATCAAAACAGGTCTTGGAATTGCTTTTAAACCAGACTTTGGAACCAGGTTTCACAACCACTCTTTGCAACCGTAGATCATCTCAATCCCTTCAGTATTATATGTTCTTTTGAAAACCTGAAGCCATATTTATAGCAGGTGAACAACAGCTCAAATTTATTAACTCAAACGAGCTTCTGATGAGAAGATCAAATCCAGTGTTGTTTGAACACTTCAGTGGAAGGAAATTGACATGAAATTGAAAAGAAATGGACATGTTCAGTTTCACACCTGCTTGCTTGCTTTTCTATAGTGCTAAATACTAATCAATTCTGAAATTCATGTATGTTTTTCAAATATTCAACTTTTCATTCAAATTGTTATGTTGCCATATGATTTGAAATGATAAGCACTGTGTTAAATTCAAGCAAAATGCAAAACAGAAGCATTTCCACTAGTGATCTCGGACTTTTGGCTCCGACTGTACGATAAAATGTTCAAATGTTCCATGAGTCGTAAATAACTTGGACTAAAAATTGTAGAATGCTGCAAAGATCCGAAAAGTTTGTGTCCTTCATGGAGCCCCAGTACACCGACTCGCTCCAGGCGCTCCAAATCTCCGAATTGCCACAGACGTCAGACATCCGCACCCTCACCTGGAACTCGTACCGGCTCTGAGCGTCCAGGACCTGCAGAGTGAAGGAGTTCCTCTCAGGGCTTTCGCTCTGAAGCTGAGGAGAAACACGAGATAGATGAGTTTGCGTTTGAAGGTTTTCGTTAAAAAATGCATTGTAGACCATTTTCAAGAAGAAAAATTCACGTATTTTTACAGTGAACTTCACACATTCTTGTATTATGAATATTACCACCTTTATTAAAGAAATAAAAATGTGTTTTTCGTTATACATCATTTATTCTTTTCGAAAACACAATATACCTAAAACTGGCACAAATTAATATACAGCATTTTGGATTGAAACTCAAGCATTATGCGCTCTGATCCGTTACCAGAAAACTCCAGTACAGGACTTTGTTCAGCCCCAAAAACACGTAGCATAACATTTATTGAATCTGAAACATCTATGGAACACTGAACACTGCTGTGTTACGCAAGTGTTGCAACTTTGTCAGCTGAGAAGGCCTTCTTGGTGTCCTTTTAGTGTATTCTATAAAAAACTTTACAAAAACATGTACAACCAGCACGTCTCATCTTCGTAACATCTTCAGTTGTTGCGTACACTGAGCTGCAGCGGCCGCATTTCTAGAGAACTTTATTAGACTCTATTGTGTGCACTGCCTGGTCTACATGCACGTCACTGCTGATTGGTTAACACCTTTGACACGCCCATCAAACAAAAGAAAATGTACTTTAAAGCTCACTGTGCACCGTTTCACACGAAACATGGTTTAACCATAGCACATTTTGAGATTTAACATGCCCTCGTTTTAATTAAGCAATGGAACACAGAGGGAGTGTGTTGTCGCGGAATAACATCCCGGCTGTGATTCGGTCGCCGTAGATCATCACAGCCGTGATGTTATTGGTGATAACACACTCCTCGAGTGTTCTATTGCTTTAATACAACAGTTAAATAAATACAGTAATAAATTAATAAACTGGGCCGTGAACGCGGCGTTTAATATGTTTTAATGTTCGCAGTTCCTTCACCAAATTATAGTTCCTTAACGAGCAGCTTGTTGCTACGTCAGAGTAACGAGCTCCGCCCACTCGCTGCTCAGCGGGCAGTTCGTTCTCCAGCTCCTTACACTAAACTCCCAAACCAGTCATCACCACTGAGCTTTTTTGTTTTTTATTGTGTCAGTTTTATGGCTCAGTCTGATTTGGTCAGACTCTGAAGATCAGACTACACGTTTGGCGAATGGTGTTGGGTTCATTTCTGGCTGATTCCAGGTTGTTCAGCTGTTCTTCAGTCTCAGCTGCCGACTGAAAAGCTGCTCAGTGGTGACGACAGTTTGGGAATTTAGTGTTGTCTCATCTTCAGAGTCTGACCAAATCGGCTGTCGGTCAAATGTGATCTTAAAAGTGTCCGTTTTCTGTTTGTGCAAAGTAAGAAGTAAAAACGTTTGAATGGCTTGAGCGTCGAACACATTGCTTAGCAACAGCGCCTCAGCGGAGTGATACAATGTTTGTGAAAAAAACGTGATGTTATGGTGAAATAACATCACGGTTAGAACGCCTCTCAACCAATCAGCTTGCGTGGCCGGAACTAACTGCTGCATAATTGCGTACATCCTAGAAAACAGAAATTTCCTCACTTCATGATTACCGATTGCAGCATGTAAATATTGTTGAAGTTTCTAAACATATCGTTTGTTCTTGCTGTTTATCGATATTTCAGAATTTCTTACATTGTTTTACTGTATTAATTTTAGCTGAATGTTTCGTTGTTGTGATTAAGGCTTTGTCGCCCCCTCTGGTGGAAACAGGAACTGTCCTAGACATACTGAACAATACAGTGTGGCTTTGAATAATAAGCTCAATTTACCTGCCAGTCTTTGTGGTTGATCTTGTACCGAACTTGACTACGTTTACAGGTCAGTTTGGTTTTACTGCTGCTTTTCCAGTAAAGCCAAAGCTCAGGGTCCTTTATCTCCACCTTGAGGTCATACGGAGGATCCAGCTTCACTGATTAGAGAACAGAGAGAATAAACAGAACTTTAAACCCCATCATGAGCTCTTTAACTGGTATAGGTTCACCAAGTCCAATAAATGGCGGCAGAGAGGATAATAAAAATGCGTCTGTGGTTGCCGTACTATTTAATGGAGTAAGTAATGAAGGAACAAATTTACGTGATTTTTCTACTTACACCTAATCGATCAGTCAAGGCATGTTTGGTGTCCAAATTTGACTGCTGTAGTTTAACACTGGAGGCACAAAGCTAAAATTGCTAACAAACACTAGAAACCAATAGTCACCCAAAATATTTTCTGTAAATATCACCAAAGGTTCACTAAAACTACATCCAGGTCTTCACTAAGGAGGCTTGTAGATGTGGTTTATGACACAGTATGGCTCAATGTGCGCTATCAGGTACAGTCTTGTGATTTAAACAATGCACAAAAGCTGCTTAGTTGTCATAAAGGTGGAAATGATTTAGGATTTTACTGTTTTCCATCTGTAAAAATCACATATTAAACAACATTCAGCTTAAGTCATTCGTGATAAACCATTTCTCCTCCTGTTTTGAAACTTGTAACTGAGATTTTTAACACACACAAAAACATTCATATTCATGAGCTCCTGCTGGTGTGGATTTCCTCAGTGTGCAAAATCCCCCTGGTAACTACTCCAGCTGGCTGGCTGCTACCTCTCTCTCCATAGCGGCGCTGATGCTTCAGTGTCAGTAAATGTTTGTTTTATCAGCTGTTCTTCTGTAAAGTCTCTGTTCTAGTGCGGTTCTGCGCTCTTCCTCACAGTAACTGAGATCTTCCTCGTCTCCTCTTCTGTAGAGTCTCTGTTCTAGTGCGGTTCTGCGCTCTTCCTCACAGTAACTGAGATCTTCCTCGTCTCCTCTTCTGTCTTCAGTGTGAGAAATGAGGAACAGTCACTCTTCACTCCAAACTCTTGGGAAACTGGGCGAGTTTTCAGATTTACAGATCTGCTGCAGCTCATTGAAATGGGTAAGCTTTTAGCTGAAGTCACTGGTGTGACCGACTTTATTCTGAGGTAATTGTGAAAAAATAGAATACAAATGGATTAAATTCCATATTTTAGTGGATATTCCATGATGGACAACATGTGGTTTGATGTTCTGTAGCAGCCATTCTGTAAAATGCATTGTTCATTAAAAATGTCTCTGGTGTTTCCTTTATTATGTGGAACACCAGTGAGGTTCAGTAACACCAGTGACTCCTATGGAGAGACAGGAAAGTGGACGTTTCTGTAGAATGACCTGATTTATTCATTGATTGATGTATATATTGGCTGTAGTGTAACTACTGTGAGCTGTTAAGTCTCTGTTCTTACCCATGTCAATGAGGTTACGGCGATGTTCAGCCACTACACTGCCGTTAGCGCTGTACAGCTGAGCGTGCAGGACATCAAATCTGTTCAGCTTCTCTTCGCTGTATGAAACTCTGCAGCCCACGTTGAGATCATTGACCTTTAGGTATGTCGGGCATTCAGCCTCATTACCCACTTCATATCTGAGAGAGAACACAGCCGTGTCTGAATCTGAGCAGAGCTGCAATGGACAGATTAGATCTACAGAATTAAACCGACCTGCTTCTGAAAGTGTAATTCTCCTGAGGAAGCCCGTCTTCATCCCACGTGCAGTTTACATACTCCAGATTAATCACCACACACTTTATATCTGAGGGAAACGGGAGAGACGGGGTTTAAGATGCTGTTTTAGACTTTATTCAGAATCATTCAAACTGAGACTCAGTGTAAATGTTCCAACACTAATCAGTGACTACATATCTAATTATATCTAGGGTTAACTCATTTTAAGTAACTTAATATAGAACTAACACTAACATTATATAATACTAACATTATACTGTCTGATAATACCATACATTTACTAACACTGTATTGTACTACTTGATACCAATGCTATGCAATACTACTAGCTATATGATACAGATATCATATTCTAAGTAATATTAACCTGTATCAATGCTATTCAATACTAATGCTATTCAATACTAATATTAGTTACAAAATACTATAATATATAATATTAATACTGTGTAATTCTAATTCCTGTATTCAGTTCTGAATTTAAAATAAATCTTACATAGCACTTAAATATAAAACAACATATTATATATGTGTATATATATGTGTGTGTGTATATATATATATATATATACACACACACACACACACACACACACACACACACATCAATAAAATATAGAAAATGTTTGTTTGTAAATTTAACAGTATGTAGAATCCTTTAGCTCATTTCAGCAGATTCTTACAAGCTAACCATGTTCTGTAAAACATTAAAACAGCAGATTTGATATTTAAATTACATTACGTTTCTAATCTCAAACAAGTGCAAAGTAAACATGAAAGCGAGAGAAAACAAATCAAAAAAGAAGATGAAGCTCACCCATGTTGAGTTTAGACTCAGATCCAGGACAAGTCCAGAGAAGAACAAGAAAAATCAGTAAAACCATCCTGATGAAAGTCTGGAAGCTGTAAAATTTTATGTTTTTGTCTTTAGAACATCAGCAGCTGAGTGAGTGTGAGTGTCGGAGGTGTAGGCAGAAATAAATATTTGGGTGGGCCTGTGTAAAAGTGGGGGGGCCAACTTATATCAGGGTATAGCATTTTCCAGAAGGTGGTGCTTAACTATTCCAACACTTCTGCCTTATGGTGATTCAAAACAATAGCAATCAACTGGAATAGTGAATTCAAACACTACCAACACTGTAGCACCTTCACTATAAAGCGTGCGTCCACTCCCACATGAAGACGATATAACTAAGATAGCTGAAACGTATAAAGACGAGAAGATACAACCAGGTAAGCTTAAAAATCCAAACCTAACCATCGTAGGTAAGAGCGCTCTGCCATGGCGAGCATGAAAAACGTTTGTTGTTGCGCTCACACTGCTTCTAAAAGAAGTTTAAAAGGAGAAAAGTGACTTTACTAAAGAAATAATATGAAATAATCACTCAGAATACTAAAGAAATTGTTTCAAATCACTTTTATTCTGTTTTTCAGTCCACAACCTGCTTTAAACACCAAAACAAAGTTACAAATCAGAAAATATACACAATAAACAGAAGGACTGTTTCAGATATTATACAGTTTTTACAGTTTAACAGTTGTACGTTATTTCAGGGGAAAATCTTCAACATTTCTCATATTATCTTTACTGTATGTATCTAATCAGCTGAACAAATGCAGTCAGTGGAGGAAAATAAAAAGCTAAAATCCACCTGAAGGCCAAAGTTTAATGCTCCATGTATTTGTACAAAACACAATCAGTGGAGAAAAACAAGCTGAAGTCCATCTGAAGGCCAAAGTTTAATGCTCCAAACATCTGCAGATCCCGTTACACGCACAACCCCCGTTCCAGTAAATATGACTTAAACATGCTTTTCTCACTGAACACTGTCAGTACAGTGTGTAACATGCACACTGCACCACTGTAACGATAATACGTCTAGATTATAGATTCTTGCTTTAAAGGAATATTTCACTCAATAACGCTAACAGTAAATCACTGACAGTACATCAAAACAATCAGTAATTAGCATTATGAAAACAACATGCTAACTAGAGCTATTACTGTTTACATCCACTGTTAGCAACCTTAGCACTTTCCTTTAAAGAGAGCAGCACTTAGCAAATGAGCTAAATAAAGCTATTAAGCATGCATGATTTATACAGCCTGGTATTTATTATTATTTTTATTAATAATGCTGTGTTTTTATAAAAGTGCTTCATAAGTAAAGCATACCAAAAATAAACCTTTACTTTCGCTAATGTATAGATACACATATACATGAATATACATTCAGTTTTAGCTCTCTGGATTAAACCTTGACAGGTGAGTAAAGCTGACAGGTGCTGGATTACATGCACAGTGCTGGGAATTTGAGATATTTGAGAAATATAATCTGGTAAGGATAACAAATATTATCAGTAACAAACTCTTTACTGTAACCTGATTGTGTATCAAATTAGTGTCCTACTCTAATTACAAATGCTTGATTTTTATAATCAGATTAACTAATGCAGTCTGCAAAATCTGGACAGCATAATCCAGATAAAATGATCCAGATTACATAATCCAGGTAACATAATCCAGATAACCTGATCCAGAGAACATAAACCAGATAACAAGATTAAGATTAAGTGACCCTTATTAGTCCCACAATGGGGAAATTTCACCTCCACATTTAACCCATCTGTGCAGTGAAACACCACATACACACTAGTGAACACACACACTAGGGGCAGTGAGCCCACTTGCCCGGAGCGGTGGGCAGCCCTATCCACGGTGCCCAGGGAGCAGTTGGGGGTTAGGTGTCTTGCTCAAGGGCACTTCAGTCACGTACTATTGGCTCAGGGGATCGAACCGGTGACCTTCCGGCCCACGACTGCCCCAATCCAGATAATATGATCCAGATTACATAATCTGGTTGACATAATCCAGATCACATAATCCAGATAACAATACAGAAAATATCCAGATAACATGATCCCAATTACGTAATCCAAATAACATAATCCAGATTACATAATCCGGTGGACATAATCCAGATTCCACGTACCCTGCACTGTACATACCTATCATGCTTGGAATCTCTGCAGTGAACACTCAGGTCTGAATGAAGTTAAGTGCTGACAGTGTTCAGGAGTCTGTAGTGTCTGTGTTAATAACCGTGTGGAGAGGATCGCTGATCTCAGACCTCCAGCATCAGCCTGCAGAGTGTGTGTGTGTGTGTGTGTGTGTGTGTGTGTGTGTGTGTGTGTGTATGTGTGTGTTATTGTGTGGTTTCACACCACGAGTGCGTCTGTGTGTAGAGGGACGGACGCTTCCTCAGCCAGCTGAAGCAGCGAGGGTAAAAACTCAGCTTCCTCCACATCTCCTCCTCCGAAACTCACTTCCTGCAGCTGCTGAGGCCTCACAGCCGCAACTACAGAGAGAGAGAGAGAGAGAGAGAGAGAGAGAGAGAGAGAGAGAGAGAGAGAGAGAGGAAGAGAGAGAGACAGAGAGGAAGAGAGAGAGACACACACAGACAGAGAGAGAGAGAGAGAGAGAGAGAGAGAGAGAGACAGACAGACAGACAAGACAGAGAGAGACAGAGAGAGAGAGAGAGAGAGAGAGAGAGAGAGAGAGACAGACAGACAGACAAGACAGAGAGAGAGAGAGAGAGAGAGAGAGAGAGAGAGAGAGAGACAGAGAGAGAGCGCATGTGTAGGAGTTATTTTAGTAAAGATGAGAGAGAGATGTGTGTGTGAGAGTGTTCATGTGAATGTTCATGTTCACAGTGCTCAGCAGAGTCTGATGCTCTGATAGTGAACAGTCAGAGCTGAAGTGTTTAGGTCAGTGAGGCCTGATTGGAAATGTGCTGCAACGCCTCTGTTTCTGGCACAGCGCTTCGTATCACAGTGAGCAGGTCACATGATTTCAGCAAACCAAGACGTACGTCATTGGAGCTCAGAGTTTCGACCTGTATGCCACCTACTGATCTCCAATCACTCAAAGCATGGACTGGCTGCCTATCTAGAACCCTAAACCTAAAGAACTAGTACATAGCCTTGGTGCACTAATGGGCTCTGATCTCAGTTTTATCAGTCATGACAAAGCAGTTACTAAATCAGCTTTTATTCACCATAAGAACATCATCAAGATCAGTGATGTTCAGACCAAAGCAGACCTGGAGAACCTCATCCACGCCTTTATTTCTAGCAGGATTCATTACAGCAAATTAGGCTTAAAATGGGCAAAAAATAGTGTAGTGCAGGCCCAGATATATTTCATTACAATCCATAAAAAATATTTTAGGAATACATTTGGAATGCATTTATAAAACATCTTGGTAAGGTACAGTTAAAATCTTATTTATTTATGTATGTATTTATGTATGTATTATTTATTCATTCATTTATTTATGTACACTGTTCCTAAATGTCCAGTACAACACTGACACTAATCCAGGGTTTGGCCACATCCGCCTCTTTTACTGCCCTGTTGCTCCACAGCAGAATCTGATTAGTAGGTAAAAATAAAATAATCCTCCTTTACAGTAAAATAAAGCTCTGCTGATCATTCAACACAGTTTAACAATAAATGGTCTTAAACTCTGGAGTTAATGTAGAACTGCTAATTCACCATTTAACCCTGAAGATCAGCACAGACTGCTGGTCACCATAGCAACACAGACAACGATCTTACCTAGCTAGTAGCTAACGCAATGGCAAAGAGGGAGATTTAAGATAACCATCAATAATTTGGAGATGAATGGACTGATTTGTGTTTATAATCACTCCAGCTGATTTCCTGATACGTTTAATCTGCAACAAGAAACTGAAACACTAAGAAGCCGTGTCTATAAATCTATAAGGTGTGGGAGGGGCGTGTCAGCGCCCAAAACAGCTCAAATAAGCCACAAAGTGAGTATAATAATGAACTACCTTGTGCTGCGAGAGCTTTTCTTCAGCAAAAAAGTCACATCATGATGAACGTTAAGCGCAACGTGACCACTGGCCAGTGGAGGAGTTGGGGGTGGACAATCATGCTCAGGCACAGTACACGAAAGTGAGAGTTTGCCCCATAAAGTTAGTGTACTGTGTACTCTGCTACAGTAATACAGAATTCAGTGGAAGTCCTCACAAGCGAATGTGTGTGTATACCTGTGTGTGTGTGTGTGTGTACCTGTGTGTGTGTGTGTGAGTGTGTATACCTGTGTAGGTGTGTGTGTGAGTGTGTGTGTGTACCTGTGTGTGTGTGTGTGAGGGTGTGTGTATACCTGTGTAAGTGTGTGTGTGTGTATACCTGTGTGAGTGTGTGTGTGTACCTGTGTGTGTGTGTGTGTGTGAGTGTGTGTGTGTACCTGTGTGTGTGTGTGTGTGTACCTGTGTGTGTGTGTGTGAGTGTGTATACCTGTGTAGGTGTGTGTGTGAGTGTGTGTGTGTGAGTGTGTGTGTATACCTGTGTAAGTGTGTGTGTGAGTGTGTGTGTGTACCTATGTAAGTGTGTGTGAGTGTGTACCTGTGTGTGTGTGTGTGTGAGTGAGTGTGTATACCTGTGTGTGTGTGTGTGAGTGTGTATACCTGTGTAGGTGTGTGTGTGAGTGTGTGTGTATACCTGTGTAGGTGTGTGTGTGAGTGTGTGTGTATACCTGTGTAAGTGTGTGTGTGAGTGTGTGTGTGTACCTATGTAAGTGTGTGTGTGAGTGTGTACCTGTGTGTGTGTGTGTGTGAGTGAGTGTGTATACCTGTGTGTGTGTGTGTGTGAGTGAGTGTGTATACCTGTGTAAGTGTGTGTGAGAGTGTTCGCTCCCCTCTTTGCGTCTCGTTTCCTCTTCAGCGTGAGAGCTTCCGAGCTGCAGCTGGTCGGTCTGAAGAGCTGAGAGGAAAATAAAAACAGAGAAAGTCTTCAGTTCAGGCCATAAATAGCAAAACTCGGTCAAAACCAAGAAAAAAATGCACCTCTGCAACAATGCTAATGTTCCCCTATGGGATTTCCAGTACTATGTTAGCACTGATCTAATGCTGGTGCACATGAACGTTTTTTGGGCAATTCAGGTTAAACACGGACATGTGAATCTCGTAAAAGTCACTCCAGATGTTTTATATGAATCTTGTAACTGACATTATCAGATATCTTGTGTGTATCAGTGTTACAGAGACTCCTTCAGTAAAGAGTTCTGACACAGACAAATAACCAGAACCTGCTTAAGCTCGTATTCACAGTCAGTGACATATCTAGAACCTCCAATAGTACTAGAAAGGTGCATTCTGGTTCCACCACATTGTAAATCAGATCATGGTTTGCTTCCAAATTATGTTGGTGGTTAATCTAGTCCAGCTCCTGAAGTCCTAACCAACGGGAGAGCAGCTCGGCTGTATCTACCCAGATACCAGAGAGAAAACATTCCTGATTGGACAATGTTCTGTTGCAGGACTTCAACCTTTGTGTTTGGTTAGGATCTGACTGAATGAGCATGTTTTGGTGTAAATGGTGATTTCTGACTGACCTCAGAGAGGATGTCCAGGCTGGGGGGCAGCGAAGATTCCTGAATGGCAGCCAGACTCGAATCAATCAGAGATAATGGATCCGCCAACTCACTCCTGAACCAACACCAACACCGAGACAGAGAGAGAGAGAGAGAGAGAGAGAGAGAGAGAGAGAGAGAGAGGGGAGTTATAAAAGAATATAATAAATAATATTATTCATATTGTATTCTAAATAATTCTATTATTTTAATGTAATACAAATAACTTATTTTAACATTTAACATATTTTAACACACATTACATTCAATCTCCTAAACATCATAAACAAATTATTATTTAAACATTACACATTAATTAAAATTACAAATTATTCAGCATCTACTATAAATTAGCCCATTAATCAGGTATTTAAACAGGTTAAAGAGTCAGGGTCAGTAGGTGGCATCCTCACCTCTCTGGAAGCTGCTCTTCTGTCTCTGGAGCTGCAGGATCATCCAGCAGAGACAGAACCAGATCTACAGAGGAGAGGGCTGGGGAGAGAGGAGCGGACGAACAGCAGGGGGCGCTCTCTGCTGCTGGGCCACTTTTAAAACAATAAATAATTAAATAAGTAACAGAAGCAAGAAACGATGTAATCAATCCTGTAATTACACTAAAATAATACAATATATTTCAGATGAGGTGTAATCTCAGGTGTAATCTCTGGTGAGGTACAATCACATATAGAGTTCTATATCAAACTGACGTGTAAAGTGCAATCATAATCAGATGTAATTTCAGATGTAATATGAGATGAAATGTAATCTCAGATAAAGTATAAACTCATGCTATATCAAGTGAGGTGAAATCTCAGATTAAGACGTAATTTCAGGTGAGGTGTAGTCTTAGATGTAATCTCAATTGACGTATAATCCCAGGTGAGGTGTAGTCTCAGATTAGGTGTAATCACACACTGTAAAAAATGATGTCAATGTTTTCACTTAAAAAGTAAGTTCACTAAACTTCAAACAGTAAGTTAACAGAACGTAAAACACAAATCACTGTTCTGGTTTCTCACTATTAGAAGATCAATGAACTCAACATTTTAAGGCAACCAGTTTACTGACTTCTTTAAGTTAAAGCCGAATCGTTTTTTACAGTGCAGAAGTAATATGAGACGTGATATAATCTCAGGTAAAGTGGCATCTCAGATGAGGTCTAACATTAGGTGTAATCTTAAGTGAGGTTTAAACTCAGGTGTGTAATCCTGTCTCACCTGTCCTGCTCAGTTAGGGGCTCCAGCAGGTGTGTGATGTCAGAGACGATCATGCCGTTGGAATAAACGTCAGCAGACAGCGACTCCAGCTGCCGTAACAAACCCAGACTGAGGTTAACAATCTCTAAACGCCGAGACGACACAAATCGAGTAGCCTACGTGATGCAGAATTAAAGCCAGAGGTACCACACAGAGTTACGAGACGCTAGAATGCTGAGACGAGACGTCACACTGCGCTCTGGAGACACAGAAACGGCATGTAAGGTGAATCTAATAATCAGATAAAGCTAAAGCGTAAGGAGTCCTTTAATCAGTCAGTCCTGAATTCATCTGAGCTCACCGCTTTAAAGGGACAGTCCAGCATTTCTCAGCTTAATCTGTATGAACAGAAGCCCACAGACTCCAAACACTGTGATAACAGAAGTCAACAGGCAGGTGCTCAGCAGACGGATATTAGGTTGAAAAACTCTAGAATGTTCCTCTAAGCAGGTCTGAGTGAAAGCATCTGCCCAATGGAAAATCATCAAAGGGAAACATCACCAATTTTTCAAAATTCCTGAATAATTAAATGGTTAAAATGTAAACAGAGTCATTCAGAGTGGTTTGGAGAAACTTACCGAGTCAGAATTGTTCACAGTGGTGGTGATAGGAACCAGACGTCCACCTCTAAAAGCTCCCTCACAGAAAGTTACTACATGAAATGTTGTTATGTCGATAAAATAGCCTTACAATCCATTCATGGTGGAGGGATACATGTTGTCCCCAAAGAAAACTTATTAGTTCAGATTTTCCACTATTTTCCATCATCAACATTCCATATAAACTCAGAAGACTCGTGTAGGTTCACTGGTGGTTCTGGATAGTAAATAAAATGTCTATATCTGTGTTGTAGTCATGGCGACCCCTGGTTCCTATCACCACCACTGTAAAGACATCTGAACCACTTCAGACCAAACCACACTGAATCACTCTGATTATATCTCACACACTGAATTATGGGGGAATTTTGAGAAATGGGTGGAGTTCCCCTTTTAAAGGGGGATATAATGTGTGTGAATGTGAATGGAGAGTGCTGTACAGGGTCTTACAGGTATTTCCTCCAGAGAGGGAGCACCCTGAACTGAGGTTGAGCTCAGGTTTGAATCCACAGTCGAATCGGATGATCTGCTGTACTTTGGAGCTGAGTGGGTCACCTCAGAGCTGTCAATCATCGGACTAATGATGTAATCAAAAAATACAATCGTGTTAGAAACCAAACCTGCTGAAGAATCGAAAACATCAGCACTGATCTCCAAATTTCAGCACTTACAGTTTCCTCTTCAGGCCTTTAATCCCATTCGACTGGACCGTGTTGATGATGAACTGCATTATCTGTGTGTGGAGAGATGGGAACATTTAAACTAAACCGGCGGTCAGTAACATGCGGCTCTTTTACTGTCCTGTTGCTCCACAGCTGAATCAGATTTGTAGGTAAAAATAAAATAATCCTCCTTTACAGTAAAATAAAGCTCTGCTGATCGTTCAACACAGTTTAACAATAAATGGTCTTAAACTCTGGAGTTAATGTAGAACTGCTAATTCACCCTTTAACCCTGAAGATCAGCACAGACTGCTGGTCACCATAGCAACACGGACAACAGTCTCACCTTGCTAGTAGCTAACGAAACGGCAAAGAGAGAGATTTAATACGAACATCGATAATTTGGAGATGAATGGACTTATTAGTGTTTATAATCACTCCAGCTGGTTTCCTGATATGTTTAATCTGCAGTGAGAAACTGAAACACTGAAAAGCTGTGAAGCTGAAGTCAGTTTCCCCAGCTTCTTATTTGAATTCTCCCGTTCCACCTTAAATGGTGCACAATTTACATTCCATTTAAGATGAAATGAGAAATTGAAGCTGGCGAATAAGAAGCGACTTCAGCCTCATAAAAAATCAAACGTTGAGAGACATTTTGTAAGAAACTGTTCTACTTTTGTGGAAAAGTTTCCTGCTGGAGATGCTGGAAAAGCAGCTGTAGCTGAGCTAAAGCTTAAAGCAGAGCAGAGTAAGTCTGTGTTTTTGTTCATGTTTTTATTCTATATTAGCACATCAGCACACACTGAGACACGTTTACAGCCAAGATGGTAAAAAGGACATAGACTGTTGCAGCTCTAAAGGTGGTTTGATTGTGTAAAAGACAATTCAGAATTTTTGATCCTGATCTCTGTCTGCTGTATCAGCATCATACGGTTTATTATCACAGACAGAAACTTCAACACGTTTCACTGAACTTAGAAAAGAACAGAAAACTCACTGACTCTAAACTCACTATAGTAGAAGTCAGTGGGCAGATGCTGAGATCGTCAGATAATGTTTGTGTAAAGACACTTTAATTAGTTCTTCTGTTAACCTCTTTAAGGCCAGGGTCCAGCAGAGGGCCCAACGATTTATTACACACTTCTATAATCTAAGAATAGCTCAGCCAGTTTGCCCTGAGCTCCCTGTAGTTACTGAATAATAAGCATTAGTGTACAACTAGAAAGAGAAAGTTCTAGATCATGGGGACCTTCCAGGCCAAAGTGCTGCAGAGATCAGCGTTTACCCGTCTAACACTCTGAATTCAGTTCACGAAGGTCTCGCTGAGTAGCTGAGGTGTGTTTAAAGAGGCAGTGAGCTGAAGTCCGCAGAGTTTTAACCCACGAGGACTGGAGTCTGACACCTGTGGTCTAAATGGACCAAAGGCAGAATGAACCAGCATCTCCTCTCTGCAGAACGTCTCTGCTTTGTGGAAAAGACAAGTTTCTGATGCTGTTTTGATGCCTGTGTGTTTATCGTCTCTTCATAAACTAGACTCACTTCATCACGTATAATGAAAGATAAAAAATAAAACGCTTCTGGAAAAGCGAAAGGGGAACAGAGAGTTTCTCCTCATGCAGGATCTGAAACTGTACAAGCTCTTTCACTCTCAGCTGGGTTCTCAGCTGACTGTGGAGATGCAGCTCCACACGAGACGAAGCACAAAGCAGACAGGCTGAGTAGGGCTGAGTTTCTGTAATAGGGCCTCTGGATAAAAACAGTGCAGCGGTCCTTTAACGCTGAGCTGTAACTGACCTTGCGGATGATTTTGTGCTGCTCCTGGTGTTTCTGCTGGAGGGAGTTCACTTCTCGCCATAAACTCTCGTTATCCCTGAGAAAAGAGTGAGAAGAACGTCTTTAAGCACAAAAAATGATGTAAACTTTCCTCATTAATAAACATTTATTTCACATGAATTGAATATATTACATAAACACAAGCACCAGTGCGGTTTATTCAGGCTGCTTTAGGTAGTAATGGTGTGAAATTAGGAAGTAAATTCAGTGTCACTTCATTCATTTTAATATGATAAGGAATACTTTTTTTTTTAAATCTGTTGTTTATTAATTCATTTTTAGTTCCAGGCATGCAGGCTGGCATTTCTCAAACTCTTAATTGATGTAAATATTTCAGCACTGGGGGCGGAGCTGTTTATTACCTTTCATTTTTCAGCAGTTCTTCATAACAAAATTTTCATTATCATCATTTGTATTTTGTATGTTATTTTAAACATGAAGGTGATCTGTGATCAGTCTGATATATAGTATATACATACACACTTTACACATAATATTATATAGTATAGTGTATAGTGTAGTATGTAGTATGATGTGACACTGGAGCAGTTTAGATATAAGCTCACCTGCACAGAGCCATCAGCTTAAAGTCAAACGAGTCCTGCCAGCCTCGGATGTGACTGATCTCGACCAGAACCTGCGAGATCTGCCCGCTGTCGTCCAGTCCACGGCTTACTGACACCTACAACACACATATTCACACTTTATTCATACATTTATTCAGAAACATGCCTGTTTTTATCAGTGCAGCAGAGGCAAGAGTGAAAAGAGACAAAATATATTGCAAAAAAAAAGCATATCTCCATTGCATGGCTAACTCATCAGGTGCACTTTTAAGACATTTTTAGGTGCAGACGTGATCATGTGCTGCTGCTCTTCAACTCTTCACAATCCAAGCGAATTCCTCACCGCACAAAATCATGAATTAATTCAGTTTAAAGGAATAATAATTATTGCCTCATACTAAAAACAGCAGTGATGCTGCAGGTGCAACACTGTGATTCGCTGATTATTCCGGAGTCGTCACTTCACTGTGATGTCATTTACAGAGCATCTATTTTTTTCTGACTGACGTTTTACAGACGGTTTTACTGTTTGTGCTGAACGAAGCGTCTCTGAGCTCTTCACCTTCCTGCGGATGAGGCTGAGCAGGTGTGGCTGATCTCTACAGAAATGTTCGTGCTGAAACTCCACAAAGTCGCCCCGGCTGTCGTCCTTCAGCAGGCCTGAGTCCACCGGCACCACCTTGTGGAAGCCGTCTGCAAGTGCGAGAGAACAATGACAGTCTGCTACACAGTGCTTCTGAAAGCTCTAAAATATGTTTATATGTAACCTAATAATAACAATAATAATAATAATAATGGTAATAATAACAATAGTAAAGATGGTCTTTAGTAAAGACAGTGGTTCTATATAGAACCACTGAGCACTCCAAGAACCATTTGCATGCTAAATGGTTCTTTGCATGATGAAACAGTTCTTTAGATTGGTGGAGAATGTGTTGTATATGGTTCTATATAGCACCAAAAAGGGTTCTGCTTTAGTTATGATGTCAAGCTTGCAACAATAGAATAACGCTTTTTGGTGCTATATAGAACCATATACACCACGTTCTCCATCAATCTGAAGAACCATTTCACCATGCTGAGAACCATTTAGGCATGCAAATGATTTTTTGATTGTTTATGGTTCCATATAGAACCACTGTCTTTAGTAAAGAACCCTTTCTTAAGACTGTAGACAAGCAGTAATAATAGTAATAATAATAATAATAGTAATAAGAGCACATTATTAACTGTGCTGAGCACTTCTTCACATTTTAATGCAGGATTACTGTTTAGCTACTGAATTTAACACATTGGGGAAAAAATAAAACATAAAATATGGCCTGTGTAAAAAATATGGCACATATTACACCGTATATTTATTTAGTTTAGTATGTTAAACTCAAGCAAATATATGCTAAAAACAAAGCAATCAAACAGAAATTATATGCCAAAATGTGCATATTTGATTCTGTTTTCTGTGAAGGATGTGAAAATCAATATCTCCATTTTTATTGTTCAGTTTTTCCGACATAATGTGAAAATGCCTGTCGCCCTTAACATTGTGTGTAAATTTCATGATGAATGGACCAACATAACTGTAAAAATTCTGGTTCCATTGACTTACATTAAAAGTAAACTGTGTTTTTTCTCCTGTGAAGTTACCAATTTGGAGATATGACAGCAGTGATATATTTATTTGTGATTGGTGGATAAAGATCCACCAATGGTGCCTGATATTTATTTTATTACATACAAAGTGCAGGTCTTTAAGGTATATGATAACATCTGCAGCAGGAAGCTCAGGGTGGATACTCACACATGTTGAGCTGGCGTATGAAGCTGGTCATGTTGCTGTGTTTGTAGTAAAGCGGCAGGAGCTCTTTACTGAAGCGCTGCTCATCCAGCACCAGGAAACTGCAGCCATCCTGAAAAACAACACACACACACCTTTCATGCTCTTTTGTTCATTTGTTTGTTGTGTTGTTTGTTTCATCTGTAATTCAACAGCAGCAAAAGAAAAATCAGCAACAACTGACACAAAAAAGCAATAATGACTGAAGAGGAGAGATTCTGACGTGTGTTCTGTTTGTTGTGAGTGTGATTTGAGTGGTTCAGCTACACTTATCAGATTACATACATATCACTCTATATGAACAATGAACAGAGTGCAATAATGTAAATTTATTAATCAAAGGGAGTAACTAGAATATGATTTAATTTACTAATCTAAGCAGCAGCTGGGCCTAAAACAATTAATCTGAATTCAAAACTGCAGTAAAGCTAGTCTCGCCTGGAACCGAGCCAGCGCATCTGACTCACTGAACGGAACTGCAACTGACATCACTGACTTCCAGAGTAGAAGCTCAGCTTTAAAATATCTTTACAGAGAAAACCAGCTTCTGCAGAATGACCGGCACCTTTTTTTTAAAACCACTGAGGCGCTGTGCACTTCCTCTGTGCTCATCAGCTCACTCAGCCTCTCTTACAGAGCCTGAACCTCCATCTGAGGAGCACTGATGAAGTCTGTGTACTAAAAAACGTCATAATCTCATTTATACATAATAAATTTCCACCCTCTGTTTATCTCTCACATTTAAACAGGTCGTTTCCGTTGCTGCGCCTTTAAGATATATGTAAATGATATATGTAAATCAGCTCTGTTCTGATTGTGTTTCTTACAAAAAGAAGTCTGGCCTGAAACACTCATTATAACCTCAGTGTAGACTGGATGGGCAGAGCTAAACTGCTGTAGGCCGAAAGGGTGGGGCTTCACTGCTGTAGGCCGAATGGGTGGGGCTAAACTGCTGTAGGGCGAATGGGTGGGGCTAAACTGCTGTAGGCCGAATGGGTGGGGCTTCACTGCTGTAGGCCGAATGGGTGGGGCTTCACTGCTGTAGGCCGAATGGGTGGGGACTAAACTGCTGTAGGCCAAATGGTGGGGCTAAACTGCTGTAGCTGAATGGGTGGGGCCAAACTGCTGTAGGCCGAATGGGTGGGGCCAAACTGCTGTAGGCCGAATGGTGGGGCTAAACTGCTGTAGCCCGAATGGGTGGGGCCAAACTGCTGTAGGCCGAATGGTGGGGCCAAACTGCTGTAGGCCGAATGGGTGGGGTTAAACTGCTGTAGCCCGAATGGGTGGGGCTAAACTGCTGTAGGCCGAATGGTGGGGCTAAACTGCTGTAGCCCAAATGGGTGGGGCTAAACTGCTGTAGCCCGAATGGGTGGGGCTAAACTGCTGTAGGCCGAATGGTGGGGCTAAACTGCTGTAGGCCGAATGGTGGGGCTAAACTGCTGTAGCCCAAATGGGTGGGGCTAAACTGCTGTAGCTGAATGGTGGAGCTAAACTGCTGTAGGCCGAATGGGTGGGGCTAAACTGCTGTAGACTGAATGGTGGGGCTAAACTGCTGTAGACTGAATGGTGGGGCTAAACTGCTGTAGACTGAATGGTGGGGCTAAACTGCTGTAGCTGAATGGTGGGGCTAAACTGCTGTAGCTGAATGGTGGAGCTAAACTGCTGTAGCTGAATGGTGGGGCTAAACTGCTGTAGCTGAATGGTGGGGCTAAACTGCTGTAGCTGAATGGTGGAGCTAAACTGCTGTAGCTGAATGGTGGAGCTAAACTGCTGTAGCCCTTTCTTTACCTGTCACTTGACCTCATTTTATACCTCGCTTTATTCTTTCTGTTCCTGTTTCTGCCTTTTGTTGTATTTTTGCTTTTATTACTTAATTTTACTCTTTAATTGTAAAGCACTTTGAGCTGCTTTGTGTATGAAAAGTGCTCTATAAATAAAAATATTATTATCGAGCCATCTCTAAATAAACATTATAAATCGTATCTCACATCATGTTTACATTTATCTGAGTTATAATAAGAATGTGGCTTAAAATATCATTATTTAGGCTGCGCCAAGTTTTGCAGGAGGACACGACGGTCACGTCTGACAGCTTTTCTAAAAATAAAAATGCAAACGTGCTCATATAAAGTTCATCCGAACTCTGCTGACCTGCTGTCATAATATCACCCAGGATTATTATTGAATATCAGTCTGGATCAATACAGTTTACAAAAACAGTTCATTCCTCTCTTTGTTCCTTAGATTAAACAGGCTGTTTACTGTTACTTTGAACACTGATTATATATATATATATATGTGTGTGTGTGTGTGAGTGTGTGTGTGTGTGTGTGTGTGTATAAATGAGCTCTGTCCTGATTGGCTGCCCCTGTATTATATGTTAATTAGACTGTTTTATATCATTCTTTGTCAATATAGGCTTATTATTCTATATTTCCATTCATAATTCGGAATTATTCTCTATTATTCTGCATTTTTATACATCACTGATTATTTTACATCTTTCCAGTTTATTATATGTGATTCAGGATGATCATATATAATTCAAGATATTTAATTTATCATTTTTGTATTATTTTTTCCAGATTCTAGATTCGTGCTGCCCTCTTCCGGGCCATGAATGTGTTACAGAACATGCAAATTCACCGGCGCGCTGCAGCCACTCAGAGGGCGCGCTATTTATATCCCTCTCTGTGATTGGTCAAGAAGGGATCCAATCACAGGGCGCCTCTGCCAGCGTGTGTACAGTCCACGTGGAGCTGTGTGTGTTTGAATGTGGGTCATGCTGAGTTTGAGTTACTGACATTATAACCAGATATTTTTAATATTTAACTAATAAAACCGAGATTAAAACAGAGAAACGTCTGAAACAGACATTTATTCAAATGTAGTCGGTGTTTCAGTGAATAGACAATGTATTTTAGTGCAGTGTTACATAAAACTCCGCTTGTTAGCAGAGCTATTAGATCATTATTATTGTGGTTGGACAGAGCTTTTAGGGTGAATGTGTGTTAATAATGATCTAAGCTCAAATACAACTGTTAATTAACCCTCATTCCGCTTTAAACACCCCCCTCTCCCACGGGCAGCTCACAAACACAGCCTAATAAACCGTTATTTCCATTCTAAGCGATTAAATAAACAGCTAATCGTCTAAACTGACTCTGAGTGGACTCACCTCGCTCCAGCTGACCAGGTCATTCGTGCAGTAATCATCAACAAGTGTCCAGAGTTTGCTGAGAAAAGCTGGAACTGGGTGGTTCTGCTTCATCTCCACTTCAGAGGATGTTCCAGAGGGAGATTTCTGCTGCTGCCCTTCTGTAACTGGGTCAGTGTGTTTTGCTCTGGTCAGTCTGCGCAGGTGAAATTAGCTGCTCCAGCTTGAGCACATACACGTGATTATATCCACGCCCCCTTTTCTTTATCCACCAATCACAGGGCGCCTCGCTGTGTGGTTATATGTAAGACATGAGTTGTCTTTTTGCCCCCACGCTTGTCCCGACCGATCACGCCCTCCTGCGCCCATTGTGCCGCGTTTCTACCCAGCGCAGGAGGCGGAGACAAACACACCATCAGCCAATCCCAGAGCAGAATATTGACATTACTAGCCAATGCCAGCCAAGGGGGCGGGGTTACTGACCAATAACAGCGCAGGAGACAATCACACTAGCCAATACTTGCATAGGAGGCTCGTCACTACTAGGCAATCTGTACACAGGAGGCGGGGCTACTACCCTAAACCGTACAGGAGGCGGGGCTACTACCCTAAACAGTACAGGAGGCGGGGCTATTAGCTTATAGCAGCACAGGAGGCTTGACGTTTCTAGCCACTGACAGGCTCCAGTCTCTTCGGGGCGTGGGTCCGAATCCCACCACTGCCACCAAATGTAAGTGTTGAGGTTCGATATAAGGTGGTTGGATCACTCTTGACCTATAAAGGAGCTCTCTAGCAGAGTTTTTGATGCTCGAGCCTCACAGTCTAGTTGTCGAGTGGATATTTGTGATATTAAATAAAGAATATTAATTTAGGTTGAAATGCTTTAGACTTTTATCCTGCTAGAAATAAACATTTAAACATGAAAGTAGAAAACCTTTAAACTATCAAACTATTTAGTCCATCAGCTTAATTTCAAATCTTCCACTAGCAAATGCTACAAGTGCTATTAATACTAATGCAGCTAATCAATCCCAGCACAGGAAGCGTGGCTACTATCCAATCCCAGCGCAGGAAATATGACTACTAGCCAATCCCAGCGCAGGAAATATGACTACTATCCAATCCCAGTGCAGGAAATATGACTACTAGCCAATCCCAGTGCAGGAAGCAGGACTACTAGCCAATCCCAGCGCAGGAAGCGTGGCTACTATCCAATCCCAGTGCAGGAAGTATGACTACTGGCCAATCCCAGTGCAGGAAGCAGGACTACTATCCAATCCCAGTGCAGGAAGTATGACTACTAGCCAATCCCAGTGCAGGAAGTATGACTACTATCCAATCCCAGTGCAGGAAGTGTGACCACTAGCCGATCCCAGTAATAGTTCATTAGGGGGCTTGTCACTATTAGCTGAACCAGGCAGGGCTCAGGGCTCATTAGGCTCAGGAGGTGTGGCTACTAACCAACGGCAACACAGGAAGCCTGTCACTATTAGCCAATAACAGCTCAGGAGGCAGGGCTACTGGCCAGTCCTAGTACTGGAGACAAAGCTACTGGCCAGTGCTAGTTCAGGGGGTGGAGCTACCAGATACTTTAAAGTTCATGGCAGAAGTTTTGACTTCTATTGTGTCGTTTTGACACACTGAGTGCAGAGCAGCGAGCTGAGTGAGTGGCGTGTGAGAGGGTGTGTTACAGTGTGTAAGAGTGAGTGTGTGAGGCGGAGGATGGCGCAGCAGGGTGTGTTACTGTATGTAAGAGTGTGTGTGAGTGTGAGTTTGTGAGTGTGTGAGGTGGAGGATGGCCCTGCAGATTGTGTGTGTGCACGCCTGCGGTATATGTGTGTTGTCTCTGTGTGTGCTGACCACGCAGGCTGCTGAAGGCTCAGGGCTGGTGGACGCTGTGTCTGAGAGGAGAGCAGAGGAGTTTCACAGACAGGGCAGCGCTGTGGCCGTGCTGTCCATTCTGCTGCTGACCGCCACCATACTGACCACATGGCTCTTCAAACATCGCCGCTGCAGACTGCTGCATGAGACCGGACTGGCCATGATCTACGGTCAGACACGCTTTACTACACCACACACAGCCAGGATACACGCAGTGTCCAGAACACACTATGACTGGACATATATGACATCGCACAGTGTGTGATAGTTTATCATTAAAGGGGAACTCCAGTGATTTTTTCAAAATTCCCCCATAACTCAGTGTGTGAGGTGTAAACAGAGAGATTCAGAGTGGTTTGGTGTGAAATGGTTCAGGTGTCTTTACAGTGGTGGTGATGGGAACCAGGGGTCGCCATGACTACAACACAGATATAGACATTTTATTTACTATCCAGAACCACCAGTGAACCTACACGAGTCTTCTGAGTTTATATGGAATGTTGATGATGGAAAATAGTGGAAAATCTGAAATAATACGTTTTCTTTGGGGACTATTTTGCCTCACAGCGCCCTGCATGTATCCCTCCACCATGAATGGAGTTTAAGTTCTCTAAACTATCATAAAACAGTGTCTCAGTCATCAGGCAGTGAATTCATAACCATTTCATGTAGTAACTTTCTGTAAAGGAGCTTTTAGAGGTGGACGTCTGGTTCCTATCACCACCACTGTGAACAGTTCTGACTCGGTAAGTTTATCTAGAACAGAGCGTTTCACACCAAACAGATTCTCCTAAGAGTTCTAAACACGCACTATTACCTCAAAACTGAAGCCTAGTGTGTGTTTAGAAGGCTTTTGAATAGAGCTGGGCAATATGACAATTTATATCATTATCATGATAAACTGTGTCACAATACAATACAGTCTGCTGTTCTGATCATATTGTGTTGTCAGTGCTTGTAGTAACTGACTAACTGCATGATTCATTATAAAGAGAGATTACAAATTAGTCCATTTAACTGGATTTAATGACAATAACTGAATAAAAATCACTGTGTTCACAGTTTTTGGCTGTATTGTTAAAAGATAGCACTACTAGTTATTTTTTCTCTGATATATTGTGTATTGTGAAAAGTATCCTGATGTTATATTTTTGCCATATCGTCCAGCTGAATTTCAAAGGAGAATTTAAGAAGCAAAAGCACGGACTTCACAGAAACGCAGTAATTTAGAATTCAGTGGACTTCCGCTCTAAAAGTAGTCAGTTGTTCTGCCGGTCGGTGTTGTCAGTGTAAATATTACCTCATTCAGTGTTGTGACCCAAACTGAGCAGCTCAGGTGTAAACAGGCTGTGTCCTGTATCAGGGCTGCAGCTGGACTTTTCCATTACGCTGGTGAGACGGAGAGCCGGCAGATACAGTGATGAAGCTCTAACACTGTGTGATTAAAGGTGCTGAATATTTGGGCCTAAAGCTCCTTTACAGCCATGACTCCTCATCTAAAACACAGAAACATCACTTAATTCACCTCACTCAGCTGAGTCTGTCTGCTTCTGTAATAAAAAAAAATAATAATACTAATAATAATATCAATGATAAAGTTATTTATATAGCACACTTTCGATGACAACATCAACTCAAGGTGCTTTACTGAAATATAAACAAAACAAAATTCATAAAACATTGAAAATGAAGGGGCTGAGGAAGCTCATTAAAAATATTAATAATAATAATGATAACAGTAGTAATACACTGCAAAAAATAGCTTCTTATCAGGTAAAATGATCTTAAATCTAGTCAATATATCCAATATTTCTCCGGTTGAGATTACTGTAAACTTATTTAACTTATTTCCAAATAAGTTTCAATTTTTTACCTGTTTTCAGTGATTTTATTAAGTACATTTATCTCACTATATTAACAGCTAATTTAGCTTGTTTTAAGACATGAGCTTGAAACCAGCTAAATTATCTGCCAGTATAGTGAGAAAATCTTACTTAATAAAATTACTGAAAAATGACATCAGTCCCAGCTAATTGTATACTATTGTAAATACACTGTATATTTAGTTTACCTACTGGATATACGGTTGTATGCAAAAGTTTGGGCGCACCCCTGGCCCAGTGACCTGCTTTGTTGATTTTCTAAATGAAAAGAAATGCATAATTACTGTTAATTTATCTGAATTTAACATTCTGAAAAACATTAAACACAAAAACGGCCTGTACAAAAGCAAAATATTGGTGTTATGTTTTTCAGTATGTTACTGTTATCAAATCAGTAGAAATTGCACTAAAATGATCAGAAACGTGGCACTTTGAAGTTTAGGTGTTTCTAATAAAGTGGACACTGAGTCTGAGTGTTTTAATGTGGTGTTTCTGTTATTTTGACCAATTCTCTGTCTGTAATATCTCTCTCTGTGCTGCTGGTTTCAGGCCTGTTGGTGGGAGTGGTCCTCCGTTTTGGTGTCCATGTCCAGCCGGACGTTATCGACGCTCCGCTGAGCTGCGTGTCCAACTCCAGCCCGAGCGCTCTGCTGCTGAACATCAGTGGACGCTTGTATGAATACACACTAAGAGGAGAGGTCAGCAGCACGCAGGGAGAGGACGCCCCCAACGCAGAGATACTGAGGAAGGTACTGCAGGAATCTTGGTTAATCTGGATTCATACCGGATTAAAATCACTCCACATTGTTACCGTCAGACTGTAATAACTCTGAACTGTCTTCTTCACTCTCAGGTCACTTTTGATCCAGAGGTGTTCTTCAACATCTTACTGCCGCCAATCATATTTCACGCTGGATACAGTCTGAAGAGGGTAAAAGACTCACTCACAGCTCTGTACAGGACCACTGGGTCCATTCTGAGATTCAGAATTACAGCATGATTCAGTTCAGTTCACCAAGCTTTTATTATTATTACTATTATTATTATTATTATTACAATATTTAAAATAGTGTGGAATTGATTAAAATTGACACTAGCATTCCAAAACTATTGCACCTTTAAAGAATTAAAGTTTTTTTTTTTGTTTTTTTTTTTAAAAAGGGTCACTTTACAGAAATGCCACTTTCTGTCTGTCCATAGGAGTCACTGGTGTTACTGATCCTCATTGGTGTTCCTCATAATAAAGGAACACCAGAGACATTTTAATGAACAATTGATTTTACAGAACGGCTGCTGCAGAGCATCAAACCACATGTTGTCAATCATGGAATATCCACTAAAATATGGAATTTAATCCATTTGTATTCTATTTTTTCACAATTACCTCAGAATAAAGTCGGTCACACCAGTGACTTCAGCTAAAAGCTTCATATGAAATCATGAGCTAAATGAGAAAATCTCTGATAACTGAAAGACTCAGTGGACTCACCATGTGCTTTTCTTCATAGATCCTCAGAAAACAGGTAAAAGAAGTCGAGTGATGTCATCAGTGTTTTTA